TTTGTTGTATATATATATATATATATATATATATATATATATATATAAGAAAATTAAATAATTATATGTATATTCATTCGTGAACTCGTGACAAAACTATTACAATTTAATAGTAACAAAAATACTTCCCATGCTAGAGTTATGGGTTTGAATCCACTATCAACAAAAAGTAAAAGAAATTTAGAATTTCAAATTTCTAATTCTAGCTCCACCTCTATTCATAGGATTTTTAACACCTCCATCATCTATCTAAATTAAAGAGTTCAAAGGTGATTCCAAGCAAAATCTCAATATTATCCCTTGCGAACTTTCACATTCAATTTTCAAATCTATTAACTTAAAAATCCAAGGGTGCTTACCCCTCCGCACAAATTAGTTCGAGGGATCACTTGACTCGTATAGTTGTAAAAAATGTGATGAAGTAGAAAAGTGTGAGATAATAATCATGAGGATAAGATTGTATCAGAAGAATAAACAATTGTTACCTTAGCCCAAAATTGAAGCTTCAGCATATGGCTAGGAATTCATTCCACTAAAATCGAGGTTGCTGCCAATGCCACATGCAAGAGTAATTCATTTATGTAAATTGAAATTTAATGGAGGAAACAAATCAGATTTTTACTTCTCATGAAATTGAATTAAGGAAGGAATTAATAACAGAAAATCTACACACATAAACATTTACTCACCAAAATTGAAAAACAACGAGAAGAAAAAGTGGAGAAAATTTGCTTCGTCAGAATTGAAACATAGAGATGAATTGCAACCAAAGGAAACATAATGAAAGAAATTCTAATGGAGACCAAAAAGAAACAATGTTTCAGATGCTATATTGCAGCGACTATTCAATTTTTGGGTAAATGAAAATATAAAGAAGGTAAGAATACAATTTCTAACAAGTATAAATCTTTGGATTCAGCGAATGGAACAAGAGTAGATTTAACAGCGGAAAGTCATGTCCCCGGCTACCGAAGAAATGAGATACTTTGTAGTTTGATCTAGTTGAAAAGTCTAAAATATCTTCAAACAAATACTATAATTTATCTTTAAGCACGCATATTGATACCAAAAGTATATTCACTCTTTGGTAGTAGTAGACTTTTTTATTTACTTAATAAGATTTTCCAAAAGTCAAATCAATTTCATCTCTGTTGGTTTGTTTGATTAGATAAAATATTTTTATCAAATTTTGTCTTTTCTCTTATTTACTTAGTTTAAGTAAATTCCCCCCTCCCCCAAATCTTCACTTGATTTTAATGGTCTAATCTAGATGAAGATATTTTTAATGGTCTAATCTGGTTTAGTAGAAAAAAGAACGTCTTACCTATTTTCTTTAAATTTATAAAGGTCTATCAAAACCTTTTATTAATTAATTTTCTTAGTTTCTTTAGTGGTGATTATTCTTATAACTATTTATTAATTGTTAAAAAATTTAGAACAATTCAAAAAGAGTTTTCTAACAAATAAAAATCACATCATAAAAACAACAACCGTACAAAAAATGAAGAAGAAGAAAGTAGGCTTGAAAATCTAAACCAAGTAAGCGGCTATGGAAAAGACACATGACAATATTGTGGCAGTAGGCTTGAAATTAAGATAAATAGCGGATTATATGAGAAAGACAAATGACAGATGGAAGTGAGCTTGAAAATTAAGTCAAGTAGAGGTTATGAAAAATCCACATGACAATATTCTGGAAACGATCTATGTTATCTCATGTATTAGGGTTAGTCAAAAATACAGAAACATAAATAAGATGAAATAGGAAGAAAACTTTTAATCTGAATCCACAGAAATTAATCTGTTTCCTTAAGAAACTTAATCCCCTCATTGTACCTGAGGTTGCTGATTAATTTCTTCCAAGATAAAACGGATTAACCAGCTAAAAAAGTAGAGGCACCTCAAACTTCAATAACTTCAGAGAACGCAAGGGCAGTAGTAAGAGCACACACAGACTCAATCGGTCAATAATTTTGTTTATGGGAGAAAATGTATGAATTTTTCAGTGTCTTAAAAAATGAAAATAATCTCTTTTTTTATAGTCAGTTGTAGCAAAGGAACGCGTCTGTTTGACAATGGTGTGAACGCTTATGTTCAAACATGTCATTTGAGACTGTTATGTCTTTTTGTGAAAAATAACGATATTTTGGAAGGAATATGTCTTTTTGAAATCTCCAGTCTTCTAGGTAAAGTAACCACCGTGATGACTTGTTTTCGGTCATAGTCCCATTTCAGCTGATGATCTTTCAACTCTCTTTCTAGTTAGGCCTTTTGTAGGTGGATATGAAACATTAAAGAAATAGTCAATTGTGATAACTCCACTAGAGAGTAGTTGTCTAACAGAGATATGTCTTCGTCTTATGTGATGATACTTACTGTCATACATAACACTTCTAGCTCTTCCTATTGCAGCTTGACTATCACATTGTATGAACATGGGGCCATTCGTTTGGGCCAAAACAAAATATCTTGTAAGATATTCCTGAACCATTCGTCTTATTCACCTTCCTTGTCTAAGGCGATGAGTTCAGATTCCATTGTAGAGAAAGCTATACATGTTTGTTTGAATGATTTCAAAAATATTGCTCCTACCAATAGTGAAAATGTATCCACTTGTGAATTTTGTTTTGGTTGGTTGACCCAGTAATTCAATTTGTATCACCATATCCTTCAAGAACTGCTAGACATTTATTATAATGCGTAACATAATTTTGAATGTCATCTAAGTACCCCTAAACTCTCTTCATTGCCAACCAATGATTTTGATTGGGATTACTTGTGTATCGATTTTGTTTACTTATAGCGCAAGCTATGTGTGGTCATGTATAATTCATGATATACATCAAACTTCCCAAAAATTTTGCATAGTCCTATTGAGACTGACTTCCACCTTTATTCTTTTCAAGATGAATGTTCATATCAATTGGGGTCTTTGCCCTTTTGAATTTCAAATGCTTGAAATTTTTAAGTAACTTTTGAATATAATGAGATTGAGACAATGTTAGAATATTAGGAGTTTTGAGAATCTTAATTCCTATCAAATCGATAACTCCCAGATCTTTCACATCAAACTTAGTAGCGAGCATACACTTAGTAGATTTTACATTGGCAATGTCTTTGCTCATTATCAGCATGTCATCCACATATAGACATACAATGACTTCCTGTCGGAGTATCTCTAACGTAACATATTTATTACATTAATTAATCTTAAATCCATTTGATAACATGGTTTGATAAAACTTTGCATATCATTATTTCGTTGTTTCTTTTAGTCTATAAAGTGACTTAACAAGTTTGCATACTTTCTTTTCTTTACCAAGAACTAAGAAGCCCTCAAACTATTCCATGTAAATTTTTTCCTCCAGCTCTCCATTTAAGAAGGTGGTTTCACATTCATTTGATGGATTTCAAGATCGTATACTGCAGCTAGAGCAATTAATATCCGAATTGATATAATCCTAGTCACTTACGAATATGTGTCAAAATAATGAAGACCTTAGCTTTGTCTAAATCCTTTGAGAACAAGTCTTACTTTATATTTTTGTCAACATTTCCATCATCTTTCATCTTTCTTTTAAAGTTCCATTTTGAACCCAAGGGTTTTTTCTCTGGAAGAAGAGCAACTAACTCCCAGGTATGATTGCTTAGGATGAACTCAGTCTCACTATTGACAAGCTCCTTCCAAAAGGTTGAGTCGCTAGACAACATTGCTTCCTTGAATGTTTAAGTCTTACTTTCAAGAAGGAATATTAGAAAATTAGATCCAAATGAAGTAAGTGTCCTTTGACGTTTACTTTGCCTTGAACTCTCTCCATTGGTTTCATTCTCTTTTGGTTCTTCTCGGGGTTGTTTAGACCCCTCACTAGATGACTCATGTCTTGTTTTATAAGGATAAATATGTTTAAAAAATTCAGCGTTATCTGATTTCATTACCGTATTATCATGAATATCTGGATGATAGGACTTATGAACCAAAAATTGACATGCCTTACTCTTTGTGTCATATCATATGAATACACAATCCATAGTCTTAGGCCTTATTTTCATCCTCTTAGGTATAGGAACCTGAAATTTGGCTAGACGCCTCCACACTTTAAAATATTTCAGGTTGGGGTTTCCTCCTTTCTATTTCTCATATGTAATAACATGTGTCTTTGTGTGAGACACTCTATTGAGTATTCGATTTGCTGTAAGGATAGCTTCTTCCTATAAGTTTTGTGGTAACCCTAAACTTATAAGTAAGACATTCATCATTTCCTTTAAAGTTCATTTTTTCCTTTCTGTAATCCCATTAGATTGAAGAGTGTAAGGAGCAGTAGTTTGACGAATTATTCTATTTTCCAAACATATTTCTGCAAATGGGGATTCACATTATCCGCCTCTATCACTTCTGATCATTTTGATCCTTTTATCCAACTAGTTTTTAAACTTCAATTTTATATTGCCTAAATGCATCTATTGCTTCATCCTTATCATTTAGCAAATAGACATAACAATATCTAGTATAATCATCAATAAAAGGTATGAAATACTTCTTTCCCACCACGTGATGGTATTGAATTCATGTCACAAATATCAATGTGAGTCAGTTCTAAGGGATTTGAGTTCCTTTCAACAGATTTACAAAGTTGCTTAGCATACTTAGATTCAACGCAAATTTGACATTTTGATTTTTTGCACTCAAATTTAGAAAAACATTTAAGTTAATTAGTTTTCAACAGGTTTTATTATTAACATGTCCCAAACGTTCACACCATAAACATTTAGGCTCAAGCAAGTAAGAAGAAGCAGAATCTTTATTCATATCAACTGCAATTATATTGAGTTTGAAAATAATCTCTTATTTATAGCCACTTGCAGCAAAGGAACGGTCAATTTGACAATGGTGTGAACTCTTCTGTTCAAACATTTCATTTTAAACCTTCGTGTCTTTTTGGAAAAAATAACAATTTTTTGGAAGAAACATGTCCCTTCAGGAAAAACTTACTGTTACATGCGAATTTAAATAAATCCTATTACATTAAATCAATTCTATTAATTAACTAATTAAGTAACATACTAAATTAATTTATAAAAGAAAGGAAATTAGGAAAAAAATTTAATTAACGAGATTGATGAAATAAATTTTGTCCAAAAATATCATCAATCATATCATATGCCAAATTCAAATCCAAATCAAAAGATGAGGCCTAGCGAGCGATGACGATGACTCGAGGGGGAACCTTCTTCTTGACCATTTAAGAAGTAAAATAAGTGTTTCCTAATATAAGACAACAATTTTCTTTCTTCTACCAATATAGGAGAAATGACTTTTCATTTTCCCTCCAAATATAGTTCCCTCACTTTTCCATTTTCTCTTCTCATTTTCCATTCACATTTTGCTAAAACTCAATAATCTATTCATTCGTTATTCAAAAAGTACCTTATATGGAACTCTACATTTTCTTTAAATACGACATCACATCAAATTAGAGCGACACGATGAAATAACGCTGCCTTTGTAGCAATGTTTCAGATCCTATAGTGGGGATGATGGGACTAGACCATAGGAAACACATTTCTTTTTATTTTACTCCCCCCATATAATAAGAAAAGGGACAAGGAAAGATTTTTGCTCAAATAGGGTCAAAACCTATGAATTTCTGGTCTACGTTTGTTAAGATTCGCCCTCACTAAGCCAGAAGCACGCGTTCAAAGTTCTTCAGAAATTGGTTAGCCTACAGATAGGCTAGGCTTAACTAAGTAGTTAGACATGTCATTAATTGAATTATGCTAGGAGAGTTCATGTATAAGCCTTCAGACATAAAGTCATATGGTTAAATGTGTTGTTAATTGTTGTTTAGGATGATAAGGTTCTTGATGAATTATGGCTGGCCTTTTAATATTAGTTTCTCTTATCCTACGGGTGGTAAGTTGTGGATAATATAGTTATGAGCTTAAAACTGTCTGAATGGATCTTTGGGATAAGTAATGATTGGATGATTTCATGTTTA